TGGATATTTTCCGCTGTGATATTTTTGAAGTGCAGGCTGATGTCGTCCATATAAGCTTTCAAGCATACCCCGAGGTGGTCGTACTTGGCTCTAAGCTTCAAGACGATCGGGACTAGGATGAAGCAGAACAGGGGCGGTCCCATTCCATCTCCTTGCTGCACACCGCTCTTGCACTCGATCGTCCGACGCTCTCCGGAGTCCATCGTGTATATCGCCTTTGCCGGGATTTCGTCGTAACACCTGGCGATGTACCCCACGAGATCTGGGACGCTCTTTGCGGCCTGGGCCATTATGGCGGTGCGCTTGCCCGTGTTGAAGGCATTTGAGCAATCCGTCTGGACTACCCAATGACCTGTCTGATGAACCAGTTGTGCGTCCATCGCAACTTGTTCAACTCCTCCAGCTACCGCCACTCCGAATTGGTCCGCTTCCCGAAATATTTCTTCCAGTTTCGGTTTCCACTCCCTGACCGTTCCCGCTGCAATCAGCCTTCTCCAAGTCATTCCAATGCACACTGGACGGCACTTTTCACCGAGGGCGATTAGACTGGATTGTTTCCAAAGAGTCTAGAACTCCGGTGGGAACGCGTTGGGATCGTTGATGAGCCTCCTCCAAAGGGACGACATCGAGTTGCTGAACTCTTCCCGACCAATTTTAGTGTTGACGATGGACTTAAGGTGGGAGAAAAATGTGTTGACCGCGGGAACGTGTGGCGCACAAAAAGCTTCTCACAAAAACAACTTCAAAAATGTGTGCCGCGAACGTGTGGCTCAAAAACCAATGTCAAAAAATTACACGAACGCGGGAGTCTGCGGGTGGCGCAGAAGCCAACCACAATTGCACGTTTCGAGACCACACGCGGACCGATACCACTGCTGTACGCCAAACCCACGAAGCACACACACACATTTCACACTGGGATCGTTCTTCCGTGCCGAATGAAGTGCTTGGCTCCTGGTACTCCGCCACGTCCTCCACCACCACCAGCTGAGAGGCTTGGCTGGTGGCGCGTGTTGACTCCTCTGCGGTACTCGTACGTGCAGCTGAGAGCGAGTCAGCAACTGGCTGCTGGTGAGGCGAGGCGGTGGCTGTCATGTTGGCGCCTGTTGCAGTGCCAGCTGCTGCTGCTGTCGTTAGATCAACAGCAGCAGCAGCAGCAGCAGCAGCAGCAGCAGGAGCCGAAGCAGGAGGCGCTTGCGTAGAAGAAGGTTGCTTGGTTTCAAAGAACGAGGTGATCTGCGACGCCTGTGCTGCTGCGGTCGAAGCAGCTGCGGAGGTACTTGCGGCGGCAGTCTGCTCTTCTTCCCGCACGTTCATGTTGTTGGAGGTCTCCATGCGGGGTGTTTTCCTTGCACACGGAGGGTGTGTTTTGTGTGATGCCCAAGGGCAGATGCTGCCACCCCGGTGATAAAAAAAAAAAAAAAGGAGGGGCCCCGTGAATACATGCGGCGTAACCTGATTTATGGGCCCTGATTTATCACCGGGGTGTGTTATCTTGTGTATCCCGGTTGATAAATCGATGGTTTGCCAGAAACGCCCCAAATTATCACCGGGGTGTCGTATTCTGTGGGGGGGGGGGTTATCTTACGTCAGGTGGCTTATCTTGTGTCACTTACGGTATGTACATCCAATAATGTGACGGAGAAAGAACAACAGAGTGATGACAAAAGAAATAATTCCGTAAATGTACGTTGATGCTGGGGAGTACCCAAAGCCACCCCCGCGTCTCCCAAAATTTTGCCCGTGTGTTGTAATGTGGGTGGTGAGGATCGCTCCCTCAGGAACACTACCTTCCAGAGTGTTGTTGCAGGCACGGCGGCCAACGGCAAGAAACGGACAGAGCACAAGAGGAATGACCACCACACCAAAACCGTCGGTCATCACAACACCGCCACGGGGGGTGCAGTCAATGGCATATCAGACAAAATCATGACGATTCATGATATATATCCATGCCCCCGAGTCATGACGACATCGCATGACGTAGTCCTGACAGCCGTTGTACGCCACCGACTTCGAGAAGAAACCTCCAAGCGAACCAAATGTCGAGTAGCGCTTAGTTAGCGCACGTCGGGAGTATTCGCACCATCCAAAAACAAGAAGAGGAGACTCTGAACGCCACGATGGCAAACTCTCGGGTGACTGCTTTGCTGCATACTGCATACTTCTAGAAGTACTATTTTTCTAGTGGACTCGCTTGGCCGAAAAAACGGCGGCAGGCCAACACGGTCAGGAGCTATACCGCAGCCCACAGGATGCTTCGATTTACCATGGAGCAGCATGAAGTCGGAAGTAGCAGCTACCCTCCTCGCTGAAGTTCGATTTTTTTCTTTGTCGACAGTAATGACGGCTCTCTACCCCCCCCAGCTGTCTAACAGTGTTATCGCTCTTTTTTAAGTCTACGCTATTTGATCGACTACAGTTTGTGCCACCACTATTTGCACCGCATCTATGCAGTCCTGCTCCGCCGACTCCAAAGTTTACAGCAAGAACGTTAACCTTCGGGAGACTCCAAAAAGTAACTTCTTCCGAACAACTCTTCTACACAAGCTGCAGTTTGTTTTGGATGGTAGGAGCTAAGTCCCAAAAACTTAGTGCATACCTACCTACATTCCAAAGGACCTCCAGATCTCCCTCTCTCTGTCTCTCTTGACACTTGTCGCTAGGCAGAGGAATTCAAGGGCAGATTCACACACCAGAATGTCCTCCAACTGTCGCACCCGATCCAAGCATCGATTCATAAACAGAACCTAAAGACCGGTACACATATGTGCATGTATCTGTCCTTACGCTGTAGACGCCGCTAGACACGCCACTAGAGACCTCTACGTGCGAGCAAGGAAGAGTGAACAGGTCCTGTTTTTCTACAAATCGATGACCGTGGTCTACCCATCCAGATCAGACAGTATCTCATTGGTGAGCGTCTCCACAGTCTCCCGGACCTTCGGGTCGCCGAAGAGATTCAGCTGGTTCAGGTAGTGATACAGCTTGTACAGCTTCTGTCTTCGCTCGAAGCCCTCCGCCTTCGGGATCTGTTTCCGAGTGAAAAGAGGACGAAAAGGGAGAGGGGGACCACTTCAGGTTGTTGCTTTGTGGCACGCTTCCTCGTTGAGGCACGCCAATAGTTCAGTATTACAATACGCTTCAACAAAACTTTGAACCTTCACCAACCAAAACATACATATCATGAGTCTACCTCCATATTTCTCCTTCGAATCAAGGTAAAAAATTACACAATCTAAATTCAAGTCACAAAAGCCGAAACGGCAGGCGCTCAAATAAGGTCGGTTTTAGCATTCTAACGACACCCGAGTACTGATATCACTAGAGGACACGCTCAAGCAGCGGGGGAGGAGGGTGTTGGCGCACTCATATCTGCTTGTTGGCTCCGACATGGAGGGTCGTAGTACCGGCCTACAATCTCCGCAAATCTCCGCACATTAGACCGACATCCCGTGTCTTGTACGTCGAGCACTGCTTGCGCTCGCAGCCACGGACCGTGAACCCCTGACCTGCGGGTCGTCCGCAAGTGCTGCTGTAAACCCGTACTTCAGGGGTTTACGGTCCGTGGCGGCGAGCGCAAGCAGTACAAGACACCGGGTGTCGGCCTAATTTCGTCTAATTGGCGGAGATTGTAGGCCGCTACGACCTTCGGTATCTCACACACGGTGCATCTTCATGTTGTCCTCTACTGATCAACAGCCACGTGAGAGTAGACACAGCGGGAAGGTTGCTTTCTTTTGGTATATTGGACAAAGAATGGAAATAGAGCCAGCGTCATATGGGGTCTGGCATCAGTCCGCTGAACGAAACACACAGATACAATACTGGGCAGAAAAAGAAGAAAAAACCCGGTGTAAACACTTTCAAAACCTTCAAAAACAAATGCAGACGAAAAAAGAAAAAAAGGTGTCACAAAAACAAATACCTTCGGGCGCCCCTTATTATGGTAGCACAGGAGTTCGCTAGCATAAATAGGGTGAAGTAAATGCTGTGCGGGTGAGTACGAAACGGCAGGTACGCCCTGCGGAGAACAAAGGACCTACCCGCCGACAAGAGAAAGAGCAATGTAACGTGACGTTCCTCGCCGGGAGCTCATCCAATGAAAATCGCGTATATTCTCTGGGATGCAGGCGGGAAGTGCTCGACTAGGGCGTACTTCGCGGTGGTGCAACACTTTAATAGATGCGTGCGAGCGCCGAGCCCTGCGACAGGGAGGTCGTGGAAAAACTTTGCTTTGTGGTCGAAACCGCGTAAGAGCTTAAGTCAATCGAAGCTGTTCAGGGCCAAAGTTAACATCGTGAATTGAGGGAGGGTTATAGTCTCCCCGCTTCGCTCGCAGCGTTCGGGACTGTCAAGGCTGAACACTTTAACTGTAGCATACGTTTGAAGGTTCAAATAAGCATAAATATATAGAGGTCTATACGTACCTTGTCGTGGTACGCAGTCCAAAACGGTTCCTGGAACCCCCCAAACATTTCCATGATGGCCAGCTCGAACTCGGAGTGGCCGAAGAAACTCGCCGGATCGAACATGCACGGCCCCTCGATGGTAGCCCCCGTGTTCCCTGCTCAGAAAAGAAGTCAAGCAACGACGGGGGGGGGGGG